AAAACCAGGAAGTGTTCCCTGCGGGCCAAAAATTAGTGAAAAATTTAAATTCCCCCCGAAATCTGAAAAAAAAAAAAAAAAAAAAAAAAAAAATCTAGCTTTATGAATTACAATATTTATCACAAACATGCAATTTTTTTCACTATGGTGAATAACATGAAAAAACAAAAACAAAAACAAAAAAAAAACATAAGCCCACCCTAAATCCCTTTAAGGTGGAGGTTTGTTAAGCTACTCTCAGACATTTTCCCTGGGCTTCCTCCACCTCACCAGAAAAATCTTCACATTATGAACTTAAATTCAAGCTGGAAACCTTAGAATGATTACTTTTGTCTTTGGTGGCTGAAGAGCTATACATACATCCCAGAGAAACATAACATAATTGTTCCTCATCTTTTAGGTCAAAACACTAATGAAGGTGGTCATAATGTTCTGCCTAGTCTGCTACTACATGACTTTTCATCCAGGTTGGCCACTGATGTGAGGACTGACTCCATCCTCCTCCTCTGTCCCTGTAGTTATCGCGGCTGCCCGCCTGTCCCCCCTCCCCCCCACAGTGGACTACCTTCTCTGAGTACTGCAGCAACACCAAACTGGCTATAAATCACATTGCATTATCACCGCGCCGCACTTTGCCTCTCTATCCTCCCCGCCCACCCCGCGCTTCCCATTGGCCTGCTCGGCTCCTCGGTCTGCCTTTCTCTGCGGGACATCGGTGCAATCGTACATCCCGCCTCCTTCCTTGGGGCCAGCGATTGGGGGAGAGGGCCTCTCCTTGAGCTGCCAATCATGCTCCGCGCCGTGCGCCTCTCGTTCAACGCTGCTCTCTGCGACGCGCCGAGTGCGGAGCGAGGAGACGCGCTGCATACCAACAGAGACGCATACGGAGCGGCTCGAGGTTTTTTGGCCGGGACGTACATCCTGCTCTCTGAGAAAAACATCATCAAATCAGATTATCGGACGGTGTGAATGTTTACCTCTCAGTTCTCATGCGTTTTTAGAGAAATTCTGCCTGTTCTTCAAGGCACTGAGAGCCAAACTAAGTCTGTCTGGGATATTTGGGCTTTCTGCTGTAATTTTTTTTTCCTGGCAGACAGAGACATATAAGAAAATCTCACTCTCTCTTTTCCTATCTTTTGCTCTCTGTCTCTCTATTTCTCTCTGTGTGTCTCCTCTCTCTCTCTCTCTCTCTCTCTCTTTCTCTCTCTCTCTCTGACGGGACTTATTAAAAAAAAAGTCGGATGTAGAAGAGTTGGACTATTTCTGCTGAGATTCATCCAGTGGGTCGTTTTCACACACAGAATTCCCGCAGCGGTTCCATAAGGAAGGAATACCGTAACATTTGAGCAGAAAATCAATCAGAACTCCATCATGGGCTGCCCTCTTTTGCGGAACACATTGGCTGGTTTGATCCTGGTTCTTCTGTCTAAAGGTAAGTTTCTTCAGTGAGCTTTTGCTTTTTAATATTTTGTTAATGGTTATGGGGGGGGGGAATACTAATGATGATGAGAAGGAAGAGGAGGAGGCTGGGGGTCCAAGCCTGCATGTGGATCACGCGTGTCTGCTGTTTTCTGTTTGCTTACACACAAGACGTCAAGAAATGCTGTTTGTACGCATGCACGCAGAGCGCGTGCGTGTGAGCGCAGAGCAGTGTATAGCTACTGGTAGACATCGTGGCTTAGCGTGGGCATCGACTGATGCATGTTGAGATGTTTACAGAAGAGGGGAGGAATGGACTCCTGTCCCTCGGTTCTCGGTGAACATTCCTTTACTACGTGACTTGAATGGGCCGGCGGCATCCCCACGCGCACGACGCATTTTGTGTGCAGGAGGGAGAGAGGAGAGGGGAGGGGGGCGGGAAGGCTGCGTGGAGTTAATGTGAGTACGGGTCGGAGCAATGCAGAGAGACAATGTTTTTGTTCTTTCCTCAAACCAAGGTCGAGGGAGAATGAGAGATGGATGGGAGGTTTTTGGGATGTTAAAGTGATCCAACATGAGCTGCCTGGGTTTTTAAGGTCGGCATAAAACATTTTAATTCAGCTCAAGCGCACTTTAGGAACATGCGCCAAAAATTTGTGCCCCTATAAAAGAGATACAGTGGTCACTTAGCATTCTAACAAGGTTCCTACACATTTTTACTCAATATTGGAGTTTCCCAGATTCACGTCGTAGGAGTTTTTAGTCAGTTTTGCTTATTTTAAAGTTGACCAATGTGTTGAATACAAGTGGCACTTGTGCAAGAATTGTGTAAATGGATGATTAGTTGGATGGACTGACACATGGATATATTGATGGGTGACACAAACAAGGCTGGCTGGATTGATGGATGAATGAATGAATTCATGGGTCAATTTGTGGTGGCCAGACAACTGGACTAGGGCATCTCCAAAATCTGTAGTTCTTATAGGGTTTGCAGAGGTCAGAATCATTAGTGAACAGGATAGGCTGTTACACATCAACTCACATTAATTGATTTGAGGCTACTGAGCCTCAAATTGCTGAAGAAGTTGAAGCCGGTTCTGACAGAAAAAGGCATCTAAATCTACAGTGCAGCTTGTTTGCAGACCAGTCAGGGTGTCCATTTCCAAAAGTGCAATCAGTTGGCACCCGAGTATCAAACATAGACCATGAAGCAGTGGATGAAGGTGGCCTGGTCTGATGAATGATGCTTCATTTTTCATGCATTCCTTCCCTGAGGGAACACCTGGAACAAAGAGATGCCATTGGAAGGACAGTTAATACCAAGGTTATTGTTCTGTTCAGATCCATGTGGATTTTTCTCTCACCCACATCATCTACCTAAACATTGACCAAGCACACCCTTTAATGGATAGGATATTGATTAATGGCTATATCCTCAACGTATCAGAAATATTTCATGGTTGGTTTTAGGTGGGGAAAAGTTTGGATTCAAAATTTCCCTAATCTCAATTCAGTTCAACATATGCGGCCTCCATCGTGCAGCTTGCAGGACTTAAAGGATCTGCTGCTAACATCTTTGTGCCAGAAATCGCTGCACTCCTTTGGGATTCTAATGGAGTACATACATGCATTTAAAAGTCAGGGCTGTTGTGGAAACAAAAGAGCACCAACATATAATTAAAGAGGCGGTCATAATGTTGTGCCTTATTGGTGCATTTTTATCAAAATCATCCACTACGTTCTCACTTTACAGCTGGGCGATCCACGACTCACTAGCTGTGCACATACCATTCTCACCATATCCTCTTATTTCCCTTGGCCCATCAAGCTCAAATCCTCACACCTGTCTCAATTAGTCCTGCCTTAGTCTGGTGGGAAATCAGTATATAAATAAATTACTCTGGCCGCTTAATAACAATAATTGATGTGTCAGTGCAATGCGATATGAGGTTAACAATCTGCAGATGCAGACAGGCCCGTACCCTCCTGCTCCTGACTTTCTTGTGGGCAATGAAAGCCCAGCCGGTCATGCTTGGCTTCCTGCAGCAAGCTCCCCGTATCCAGCCCAGGCAGACAGCAGACGGACAGCCCTGCAGGACGTACGCACAGAACACAAAACCACAGCAGGCTACGGTGTCACACAAACCAACCCCACGACAAAAAAAGTGAGCCTCATTTCAGATATCATTTGTCTGAATTTGTAACCTGTGGAATTCTTTGCGATATGAAGGGGCGATCAATCATCTCAGGCACAGCTGAGGAGTGATTGGACGCTGATGTAAGCACATTGCCTTACATGTGAATCAGAACCATCTCTGAGCGGGATGCTGCCTTCTACTGCAAAGTGCTGTAAGGCCTTTCCCATGTCCATCTATTTAAGGTGGAAAGCATGCATTATAAAGGAAGAACAGAACTGTTAAAAGGCTGCAGCTCAATGCTTTATAAATCATGCAGCAGCAGAACAATCCTTCATATCTGTGGCCCCAGGAGACGTGTGCACACTGTGATTGCCTAAATACTTCACCGACACTGTTTAGCAGATTGCATGTGAGTTACCATCGGCTGTTTAATGACGTAGAAGACACATTTCTCTATATTGTAGAACTATTTCCACTGAATTCTGTTTATTTAATTCTCTCATTCTCAAAGCAGAAATGTGTTACAAGAGTTGCGCATGTTTTGCACACGCACTCAGAAACAGTAAAATATGATTCAGACCTGCACAATGGCATGCCTGCCAGAGGACTTTTCTGAGCTGCAAAACACCATTAAGCTATTCAAAGGTTTCCCACAGACTTGGCCTGTGAATGCACAAACCACACCACACATGTGGTATCCAGGTCCTGGCATGCCATCATACCTTTCTCTTTCTCATTCATTTGCCCTTATTACGTGAAATACACAAGTATGGTTAGTCTGGACGGATGGCCAAGCGCCTCCTGAAATTCACGGCAAACTATCTCTGCATTCCTGGCACGTACACCGCCTGTGATTACTCAAAACCTGTTTCATTACTGAAATCAGACCGGGCACTGGACATTATGGCTGGAATATATCCTTACAAATATACATATGAAATTAGAGAGAGACTTCTGTTGTAATAGAATACTTTAAATATTTAATGCAGATAATGATTCCATTGCTTATTCAGGAGAAAATGGAGGTAAGAAGATAATTTGTTCAAGATGCAACAAAGATCCCAGGAGGGTGCATAGCAGACGGGGCAGGAAAAAGCAGGGAGGGGGGACGTCCTCGGCATCATAGTGGACATCTTCTATGGAAGTGTTTCCCAGTGCCGTGCATGTTTTAGATGTTTCCCTGCTTCACTACACCTGATTCAGCTGGTTGCAGTTAATTGTTATTGCCTGTCAATTGGAATCACCTGGGCAGGGAAACACCTGAAACATGCAGGACAGTGTGTCTTGAGGACTATAGGGTTGGGAAACACTGTTCTATGGGGCCTGTTCATGTTAAATGGAAGCTTTAGTGCGAAAGAAATCTTATGATTTGATGCTCCCTAAAATAAAAGACATCCATTCCCACCACTGCCAGTTTTAGTTTGGTCTAGAATGAATGTCTGTAAGCTTATTCATCCTCAGAGTTTATTTAATTGCGCAAAGTGTCTCGGGGTAACATATATCTTAACTTTTCCTAATTACGGTTAGCGATCGTAGTGGTTGTTTCCCCTTGGATTCTGAAGATCTGATTTGTAGGTTCTGATTCAGCAGCTGGGTTAAGGGGTCTCACTTGCTTAACTTCTGAACTCGGATCTTCAAACAGGATAATTACTCCAGCATTGTGTTTTCCACTTAAAGTAGTTAGGAGTTTACCAGCTGAGCCGCTGCCTTGCAAATCTCTTGCGAGGCAAAAAATAAAGCAGTATCTCCTTTAAAGAAAGACCCCAGCAAGCAACAGATCTCTATTTAGATATTATCATACCCAGTAGTTTACATTTTGTTGCTGCTAGGTAACAACCAAAATATTATATTTGGACCTCTGAATTAATTTGGTTTTATTTATTGTGAACAGCATGTGCCTCCCTCTGCTTTGTTTTGCAGTCAGCTTGAAGTGTTAATTTCCGTCTTCTGGTCCTTTTTATTAAGTCTGCCATAACCAAAAAAAAAAAAAAAACAGCATAAAAGGAATGGAAATTGTTTTTAAATTACATAACGATTGTCGCCCATACTGGACAGGACAAGAAGCACTTAAGATCAAGCTTTTTACCGATATCCGATAATAATCTAATATCTGTAAAAGTGTGATTTATGAATTGTCATCTTTTATCTATTTGGTGTTACAGCTTGAAGAGGAAGTGGGATGAAATTGTGAATGGTTCTCTTTTTTTTCTTTTTTTCCCCAAGACAGTAGCTGACAGATGAAATTATAGGATTCATAATTGCTAGTAAGAAATAATGATTTTGGATGCAGTATGCTGTTGATTTTTTTTTTAGGCAGTTTTGCATAAAAACAGTTAGTAGGCGAAATAATTTTTTTCGCATTGAATTACTGGATTGTAAATAATTCATAATATTTTCTTCAAATAGACAGGAAAAAGTCAACGCCCTCAATAGTTGAGTTATAATTCCACTGGGTGTTGGTTTAAAAAAAAAGTTTAAATTAAATCAGATAATTTTATTTTAGTTCTAATTTTATAATGAACCTGTTTTCCCTTGTTCATAAATGCCCTGAAATTCCAGTTTCACACTGACATATGCAGAGATCATATTACATACATATTGTACGGAACCAGTGCAACAGACGGGTCTTCCTAGCAGCATAGTGGAAGCTTCGGTAAGAGGAAGTGTAGAAAGTAGGAACGCAGGTGAAAACACGAGAGGTCGCTTTGTAGCCCACCATCCTTCTTGTTTCAGCAACATATGGAGGCCAAGTGGGGTCAATGCGCATTGCAAATGTTAGCACATAGACATCCCTCTTCATGCTGGATGCTCAAACACACATGCATGCATAAACACACACACACACACATACACAAGTCCTCCACTGGATCAA